CGCTGCTCCTAGCCACTCTGGCCTATTTTCGCTGTGTTTTCTCATACAGTCAGTTCTCAGGCATCCTCCAGCAAAAACACTTTACCGAGCTTTCAAGGGCACACAGGCACAGCATAACATAATGAGATTGTGTGGAGAAGCAACCAAATCGAGAGCGGCCATTTTCTACAGCTGTCAACTTATTATTGAAAGGCTGAGTTATTCAGAGCGCTCCAGGAACAGGGCGGAGGGAGGAGGACGGGTGGAGGGAGGGGTTTGTGTTCTGATTGGGAATGGCGTGAATGAGGAGGAGCTTTACATGGGAACCTCAGGACCAGCAGCTTTGTATATGTGCCTTTTTTTCCTTTTTCTTCAGCTTTGAGATTTAGTGTGGCCGCTTTTAAGTCTGTGCATTTTTCCACATCACACACTCGATATTTTAAAGGCTTGAGCATGCGTTTGTATGAGTGTGTTAGTGGTTCAAAGACATTTTTTGAAAGACTGATTCTGATAACAAGCACTTTGTTGACTGGTACTGGGTACTGGTGCCAATACATCTTGTGATTTGCAAATAGGTTGGAACAAAAGGCTCCTGCAAAACAGTGGTGCTGCGTTAAATAAAAAAGATGAATTGGTTGCGATGTAGAAATTTGTGGAGATGAGAACCAAGAACATGCAAAACAACAGACTCAAGATTAGAAAATGTAACACTGTTTCTGAGTCCCGAAATGTGTTTTTATGTTTACATCAAAATGATGTAATGAAAATTGGCTACAGCAACAGAGTACTGATAGATCCACATGTACACTCTAATAACTGAACATGTTCTGTAAATAAACTAAAGAATATTTAGAAAGTCTGAGATTAATAAGACCCCAACAGTTAATGTGCTGTGCATCTGTCAGCACAATGCGCTCACAGCATGCGGAGCAGGCAACTGCTTGCAAAAGTTAATGGAAGAGCGTTAACACTGTCGTGCAGATTGACAATCAGAATGGAATTGACAAAATCATGATAGTTGTGGTCAGCGTAGATATAGTTTAGACATCAGATGCTCTATATCCCTTCTAGGCTCCTAGGCCAAGTCAGGCCCATAACACAGTCCTCTTCAGCCTGTGAAATGATTTTAATTTTCTATTCTTAACAGCCCGTTTCACCATGATATGCACTACAGTGCCCAGCATGCACTGCAACATAGTGTGCTTTCTGACCCCCTGCCCCCAAACAACAATCTGTGGGCCAGTGGTTACAAAAAAAGAAAAGATGCCTGATGTCTAAAAAACTACCTAAAACAATTCATTTTTATTTAGAATCATTTTTCAATAAGTACTATGTTGCAGTTTTGGCATATTTTGAATAAACAGTTGGCAAAATATTAAGTAAAAATGAAATAATAAAAACACAGCTGAGATTTTTTAAAATGGCTCTTTTAGTGGTTGAATTTGACACCCCCTGCTCTATGTGTATCTATGTGTGGGTGACTGCGGTTTTCCAGCTTGTAGCATAGAAGCTGCATGCTTTATTTTAAAAGCACTTCACAGATTTACATGATTAAGGCGGATATTATGTGGTGATTGGAAAAAAACTGTGAGCTCTGGCAAATACTGTGAGTTTTGGTTGAATTTGTGTCAATTATCACAATTGCAAGATCGCTAATTCCTGGAGGTTCTGCTATTTACAGCCTCTTTTTAACTGATCTAAATCGTATGTGTTGATATATGTAGTTGTTCTGTGTTTTAGGTGTCAAACAGTCAGTGTTGAGGGTGATTACCCAAAATAGTTATCCATTACAAATGACTAAGTAACTTCTCTCAAACTGTAATGGTATTCACTTACTTCAAAAGAACATGTCCGTTTCAGGTGATGTAACCGTCACTGCCCATGTACACGATATGGACAAAAATATTGGGACACACCTCATCATCATTGAATTTAGGTGTTTCGTTCAGTCCCATTGCCACAGGTGTATAAAATCAAGCACCTAGCCATGCAGTCTGCCTTTACAAACATTTGTGAAAGAATGGGTTGTTCTAAAGAACCCTCTGAATTTGAGCATGATACTGTAATAGGACGCCACAGAAACCTCCACTGGCATTACATCAGCACAAAGCTGTGCATCTGGAGCTTCATCGCATGGGTTTCATGGCTGAGCAGCTGCATGCCAGCCTTACATAACCAAACACAATGCCAAGTGTCGGATGGAGTGGTGTAAAGCATGCCGCCACTGGACTCTGGAGGAGTGCCGAGTCATGCTTCTCTCTCTGGCAGTCTGATGGATGAGTCTGGGCTTGAATGTTACCAGCCTGACTGGACTGTGGCAAGTGTAAAGTTTGGTGGAGGAGGGATGATGCTATAGGATTGTTTTTATGGGTTGGCCTAGGCCCCTTAGTTCCAGTGAAGGGAAATCATAATGCTTCAGCAGACCAAGATATTTTGGACAATTCCATGCTTCCAACTTCGAATAGTTTGGGAAGGCCCTTGTCTGTTCCAGCATGACTAAGCAAGGTCCATAAAGGCATGGCTGGGTGAGTTTGGTGTGGAAGAACTTGACTGGCCTGAACAGAGTCCCTGACCTCAACCCCATCAAACACCTTTGGGGATGAACTAGAATGGAGATTGTGAGCCAGACCCTCTCATCCAACATCAGTGTCTGACCTCACAAATGCTCTTCTGGATGAATGGGCAAAAATTCCCACAGACACACTCCAAAGTCTAGTAGAAAGCTTCCCAGAAGAGTGGGACCTGTTGTAGCTGCAAAGGGGGGACCAGCTCCATATTAATGCCTATGGATTTAGAATGGGATGTCAGTAAAGCGCTTGGAGCTGTCCCAAAACTTTTGTCCATATAGTGTACTTCCATATGTCGTTTACGCTGGTGTGGATGTCAATACATCCACTAGTGGGCAGTCCAGAGTAAAAAGTTTCTGACAACAACAAACATGGTGATGGTGGAGGAGGTCATGATAATGTACCAACTATGAAAGAGGCACCATTGTAGACTGTGGTGGTCTGTGAGACCATTAAATACTTTGTGACATGTAGACATATTACCAATGAGAGAAACTGACATTGTGTCTCGCGTGAACTATTGGCCACGCTGCCCCCCACGGCTTCCGGTGGTAATGTGCACAAATACAGATGAAATGAATGCAGAGTACAGATGGAAGTCTCCATCGGTATCCGTATCCGTGTTTAACGCTGAGCATAAATGAGCCTTTACACTGTCTCGAGTGGCTTGCTGCTTTTACAAAATGGAGAAACCTTGGCACCTTAACACATGTAATACGTGTAATTTATGTTTGCAGTCAGATGTGTATATCAGGTATTTTATAATGACTTCAAATTTGCCTCAGCCTCATTTTAAAACCCAAACTATCCGTTCTATCATTACTGATTCAGACCCTATAAAGAGATGAGAAAACACATGCACGTGTCAAAACAGCATCAGAAACTTGTCTTTTCCACGTACCAAGAAGTTATGTAGAGAGGAGACGACTCTTCATTCTGCCTTTAGTTGGTTTAGATGTCTTTGGTCTGCATTGTGTTCATACTGCGCCAGAGTTCGCTCTGAAGTGAATCGAGACCAGCCTGCTCAGGGGATCTTGGTCTGCTGATTTGGTTCGGATCGCAGTGCTCTAGCGAACAGTGCTAGCAGAGCAATCGCATCAGGGTTTGTTTTAATTTAACAAAACCAGCCAAGTCTGAACCAGCCTTGGAGACAAATGAGAAAGGCATGTAACACAGTTGTAATCACGTCTGTATCTGTAATGTGATTACAAGAATTCTAAACTCTAACTTATTACGTTACTTTGTTACAGGAAAAATAATCGCATTACTGTAACGTTACTTTGTTTTCCACAACACTCATAATATAGATGATACAGATGATACAGATGGTGCCTTTGTTTATGTCTCTGCTCCAAATGAGTCATTTGCAGTTGAGCAGATCAAATGTTGTGGCAACTAATGCTTCTAACTGCAGTCTAGCTGGACCAAAATGATACGAAATATGAATCTTTTCTGCACTAACTGTACTGTCAGATAGGCCTTGTTCACTATACTGAACATAGATGCGGGTGCCATTTGAGCCTGCATGTGAATGTGCAACATATTGCATATTTTTGAATTAGAAAAAAGCATTGTTTTCAATTCTCTCTCCATCTGAGTAATGCTACATTGCTTTAAGTAAAACTGGGCCCAAAACAGCAGTTAGAGGCTATTGTTAGTTTCTTATTGTGTTCCTGAGCACGCTGCGTCTTAGAGCGGTGACATTAAAACCGTATTGCAAGATTCAGTACTGCTGGTCCACAGCTAAAAACCAGCACACGCATGCACAGATCCATAGACAAGCACTCTAACTGCTCTTTCACCCTCTCCACTCCGAGCACGCTCATAAATAAAAAGAGGGAGAAACACTTCCACATGCTAAATACGCCAGCATGCACTCTTTTCCCGGTGGGTTCTGCTCATGCCCTCCTCGCCATGAACAGCAAGCTAAACTCCGGCTGGTTTTGCTCCAGGCTTCTGCTTTCTCGTATTGATTTTCCCTCCATTACCAGCAGCCTCACTCTCTTCTCCGCTATGCCAAATCGCCTGCAAAGCACCAAATATCTCTCTGTTGTAAACAAACCCTTATATCTCCTCAATGTTAAGTTTATGAAAGAGATACATTCTTTATTGTGTGTAAAAATGACCGAGTAATTTTGGACCATTTCTCTTGGTCCATTCTTCTCCAAATCCGTACACAGTGTAAAGAACAGCTGGTGTTGGCCTAAAAAATCTATAAATCAAGTTACACGGTTTTGATACAACAGCACTGATATGTAGTCGAATGTTTTCTTATAGAGACTGTTTGAGCAGCATGTCTAATGAAGTTCAGTGCGTTTTGGTGTAATATAATTAACGATGCTTATAATAGGGCCGATATGTTCCACTATTACTTCAGGAGTCGAGGCAGAGACTTTAACGGGAAGGTTTTTCTCTTTTTCTCATCAGAATTTCTCTCTCTCATTCTCTTTCCAGGCAATCGAGTGGAACCGTCATAAAGAACAGGTACGCTCATTAAAGTGCATGCACATGTCTTCCTGCTAGTCGCTGCTATACATTTTGAGGAGCTGCTTCACTTTAGAATGCCAAGCGCCTCCAGTCCAGATTACAGGAGTTCATATTAGTTCATATTTGATGTAGATATTATTTTTTTCTCATCTCCTCCTCCTCTAGCCCCTCTCATTAAAGCTTCTTCTACAGTAATTGCATTGATTCTGCTCTGTTTTGTATTCTGTAAGAACAGTTAGTCCCACAAGCGAAAGGTAAACCTAGCATCCTGCTAAATTGTCCAGTAGGCTTTGAGCAGAAAGGAGTGAAGAATCTCCGTTGGAGTTCATAAAATGTTCTCAAGTAACAGTGGAAAGGTCACAGACCACCATTCATCTATTTAATTTCCATTCAAAATGGCGTTTAATTACAAGTTATTCCTTTTGCACTACTAGATGTATAATAATCCACTTGCATAAGGAAGATGATAGTCAAGACCCACCAAAACTCACCATCAGACAAACAGCTATTTTAGCTCTAGTTTCAGCGAAAGTCTAATGAAAATAAAATAAAATAAAATAAAATAAAAAACAAAACAAAATGGGACCCCTAACAACCAGTGCTTTCACGTTTGAGAGAGGAGAAAATCAAGCTCCACTCTTGCCTCAGAGCTAAAAAAATCCACAGGTATTTCTGTCTATCCTGCCACTGTGAGAAGACAACTCAACACTATGAGTCTGATAGGATGTGTTGCTGTCAAAGATGCCTGAGAAAAGGAAACAGACACAAAAGAACATCAACGGCAAAACCAAACAAAGAAGCTGCTGGTGTTCTCAGAACAATGGACTGACCACCCCAGAGTCCAGACCTCTACATCACTCTGTGTTTGGGATTATGTGGATCAGGGGAAGTAGAAAATGCAACCAACTTTTAAGACTGAACTTTGGAAGTGTGGAAAATTATTCCTGCAGATTTCTTCAAAAATTGAAGTCTCCAGAAAAGAATGGAAGCTGTAACAAACACAATAGGTGGACATTTAGTTGGTGAGGCTTTTGTGTAATTTTATTCTAAATGTTTTCTTGCTTTTTTTCCCCCTGAAGCTGAAAAATGACTTATTCCTGGTCGTTTTGACTGGAAATTAAGTGAATTGGTGGTACAGTATTGTACACCCAGGTGATGTTAAAGGATAAAATGTGAGGAATTGTAAGGAATTATAAGCTTGGTGTGCAGTTCTTGTTATTTTATTAGTTGTGATGCTGTCATTAAACTTCAGTGGCAAACTTTAGTTGAAAAGGTGTTGTGTAAGCCAGACTTGATGCTCGAGGCAGATAGGCCAAAACAATGGAATGGTAAAGTAATGAGTTTCTGGGCTTCCTACAGATCAAAGCGTGCCAACAGCATCCGAGTGGTTGGAGGATAAGCCTTTTTGATAGCTCACTTTGCTTTGTCTTTTTGCGAGCGCATCTCTATAACCTTTCGACAGAACTTCTGAATTTTAGATGCCAAACAGATCGAGCAAGTGGTAAAGTTGAAGTAAAGAGATAAAGTTTTAAACTCGTAACACAGTGTACACTTGCTTCGACTGACTGGTTAGAGCTGCACTGGATATTTAAGTTAAGCAGTGTCAGCACTGAGCCCGAAGGCTGTCCTCCAATGCCCCGCTGGCAAAAATGGGTCAGTCCACCAATCAGTGTGTCCAATGCATTCACTGTTACATCATCATCATCACCTCGAGCCAGTGTCAGCTTCCGTCCCAAGGGTTGGTTTAGCAATGTATTCATTGGTGCGTGATGCAATTTGGCTTCATTCTTTGCCCTGGTTCCAGCCTTAGTAGTGCTTCTTATTGTTTTAAAGCGAGCTGTGATATATCACCAAGGCTCTGTGTGTTCGCGCTCTGGTACCCAGCTCATCTTCTTGTTGTTTGTGGGTATGAGGATGACTAGATCCAGAAGATTCTAGCTCTCTACTCATTTTTTTAAATGCAGTTATCTGTTTCATAGTGTATATTCTTAACAGAGAACTGTAGCTGTAGTTAAAATAATGTACAAGCCAGGAAAATAAGAAATCTAGGTCATGACATGACCTGGTCTGACATGACATGGTCTACACACACACACACACACACACACATATATATATATATATATATATATATATATATATATATATATATATATATATATATATAATTTTATTGTAATTACACAATTTCCTAATGACCTATATAGATTAAACTTACACTGCACTTTTGGCTTTTTTCCATCGAACAATGATGTAAACATATCAAAAAGTGCACAACAATAACTTTAGTTAGCTGCAAGTGAAAAAAATAAATTGTAATTTTAACATTCTTTTGTTTTTTCTAGCAGTGACTGTGACTCGTAATGGTTAATCTGGTTTGCAGATTCTTCATTTTAATTTAAAATTAAATTGTAGAATTAAGTCATTTAATATGTGAAAAAGTAATGGACCCTACAGCTACAGTACTCTGCAAATGTCCAGTCAAAATGGCACAGGTTATTCATTTTGCTGTGTGAGCAGAATCATATATTTCACAGAAAATGACACCGAAGCCTCAACAGCTGAATAACAACACAACATTTTTCTGTTTCATTCAGTGTGTCCACTTTTTGCCTTTATTACCATTCCATTCTAATGAGGAGACTTTCAAAGAAATCTGCAGGGAAATTTTTCCGTACCTCCAAAGTTCAGGCTTAGCAGTTGGTTGCGTTTTCAGTTTCTCACAATCCGAGAATCTCAAACACGTTATGTTGAAGTCTGGACTACACATCCTTTCAGACCTACAGTGTTGAGTTATCTCCTCACAATGATTTGAAGCAAGATTGCAGCTTGATTTTCACCTCCCTCTCAAAGATGAAAGCTTTAAGTACTGTTTTTCTGATGGGGACAGCTTTGGTGGTCTACTAGGTCTTTGCACGGTCGTTAACTTTTAAAAGTTTTTTGAACTCCAGTTTTGGAAACTTGTTTTTTTCCACTTCAGCCTTCCTTATGTAAGTGGGTTATGCTATGTCTTATCCTCCTGAGAAATGAATAAATTGTACTTAATGGCTGTTTTGACTAGAAATTAAATAAATGATCTCTCGCCGCCCTCCATCTGTAGTCCGATGGTTCTCTGCTTGCAAACCCTGCAGTAAAAATTCCAGTGTTTACAGTATGTACCTCAGCATCTTTGCTCACACTCATTTCCCCCTTGCACTCTCCAGTAGAGAAAATTAAAATGTTGACTGGGCATTTTCTTTTGCACGTGAGCTCGGTCAGCCTACCGCCATGTCCAGACAATAAAGAATGCTGATGTTACGTTTTTACATTCTTGCCATCAGACCATGAAATGTGAGATTTACTAAGGCTAAATAGTGAATTTTATGAATAAGCAAGGAAGATGTCCCTGGTGAAAGTCAGTGGTGGACAACAAATTAAGAAGGCATGAATAGAAAAGTAGTCTGGCCGCAGGTTTATTGTTTGTAACTTGCTTACTGGAGTAGTAGCACAATGAGTGGTTGCCCATGAATAGATAGAGTGATGGAGTGAAATAAGCAAACAAAATGAAATGTACTGCTGCAGTTACTGTGTTTTTACCAAGCTTGGCGGTTTTAGCTTGAAAACTGCAGGAGCGAGAGAGATTTGAAATATGGATTGAGGTCTGTGGGGTGAAAAAAATGCAAGGGATGAAAAAGAACGGTTGTAAGTAATTCAGCTTGGAATTACACTGTTTGCACATGGCTGAACATAGAACTGGTACCAAATAACTCTGGAATGCTTATGTACAGCCTACTGACAAGCCAACGTCCCTAAACCTTAAGATCCACTCAGTTATTAATTCAGTTTCCACTTGTGTAATGACCGGATTAATCTCAGCTTTACCATTAAACTAATGCATGCTTCCTTAAAGTTTGTCAAAAGTCAGATTTATAAAGCTTAAATGCAGCCAATCACCCAGGACCTATTTGGGATTTGAGTCCTTTAGTTTTTCCCTGGAGCTTTGAGGTTAATCTAGCTAACAAGCACAAAAGCTTACACCACACCAAACAGCACTGTAGAAACTACATACATTTGTTCATTTGTATAGATAACAGCAAGGGCATAGGAGTTAGCCTGGGGTTGCCCTTTACAGCATACTTCCCCAGGAAGAACATTTTCCAGTAATTCCTAAATTCCTGCAGCGTGATCTTTGCATTCATCATAAGTCACCATGTGTACGATCATGAAATGTTATGTTGCCATTGACTAGTCTTTAGGCTATGCTTTGCAAAAGTAGTTAAGGGGCAATCCCACCAATTTTTCTATATTTCTGTGCAATTCCATCCAAACAGTGTGTTTTTAACTCCAGTGCAAAACTAATGAAACAAACTTTGGACACTTTACATGTTTTAGCTGTTCGAGTACATTTGGGGTAAAGGGAAAACTGTTTTTAATAAGATCTTTTGGTGAACTGTGGCTTTAAAAGGCTCATAGGCTACATTTTCTTATTTTTTCTCCTGAGGTCCACTTGTGATATCTGTGTGGCTTTATGCGTGAAAACCAGTCATAAATTAATTTTACATGATCATTTTCCACCCTTTTTTTAATCCTTAAAATGAAAAAGACTGTTGGAAATGATCTGTGGTCTGACTGGGTGCATTGTATTGTGCTGCTTTCAAAATGAGTCCAAACTAAAACACTCCCTATAACCTCAGTGTTAATAACACATGTCTAATATATTCATTACATTCAAGTGTTTACTTGTTCAAAAATATAATTTGTAAGGGAAACTAAACATAAATCTATACATTTTTGGTTTTATTAGATAGTGTTCTTTATGTTTTAAATAAATGCAGCAATAGAAATCACTCTATTAAACTAGCAGAGCAGATTAAACAGCATAAATAGCTAAATTTTGTCTGACCTTAAAGGGTTAATATTTACTGAACTATTGAATTAGCTCTGATTAGAAGCTGGTGCTGTGAGAGTGGGGTAGCTTGCAGTTGCTTTAGTATCTCTGCCCTCTCCTGAATATTTATTGTAATGTTCATGTTTTGTTTCATGTCTGTTGATAAGAAATTTATTACAGCCTTTTGACACATGAGACACACACGTTTGCTGTGGCTCTCGATGAAAAATTTCCATCTCGCTGTTGAACTTTATGGTTGAGCTTTGGACACCCCTGACATACTACATCTTTTATTTAAAAAAGCTAGGACGGTTGTTTTCATGAGAAGGACCCTTTATGGTCCACTAATTAATAGTTACATTTCATTTCTCCTTGTGTTGTAACTGCTGATTTAACCTAGTTTCTTTTCAGCATTAGAAATGCACTTAAAACTTAAAACTGTCTCTGAATCTGATGCAAAACCTCTCGTTTCTCTCTCCAGTCTGGGTGAGGAGTTCTATCGGGAGGCGATTGAACACTGCAGGAGCTATAACGCCCGTCTGTGTGCAGAGCGCTCCATGCGCCTGCCTTTTCTGGACTCGCAGACAGGCGTGGCACAGAGTAACTGCTACATATGGATGGAGAAGACCCACCGAGGCCCAGGTGGGAACCTCACTGTGTGTATGTTGATGTGTGAAAGAGAGAGGAGGAGAGGAGGTGGATTTCTTTGCATATGGACTGGGCAAGGAAGCTTCAAAGGCCAGTGAAATGTTTCGTTAATTTAAACTTTAAAGTCATGGTTGTCCAGTAGGAGAAGAGGTAAGGGGCACTGAGCAGTCTTTGCTTTATTCGACTACTGGAGAATATTCAAGAACATTTTACAGTTATGTGTATTTGCCAACAACCAGTACTGGGGCTGAATTAGGAATTTTCCTTTTCTTTTTCTTCTTTTTTTTCTCCAAAAAGTCCAGCACAGCAGTTTTGAACTTTTTAAGACAATGTTGGATAATATAGTATATATTTAAAATTGCATCTCTTGCAGTTAGAAAATTGCACACTTTCACATTTTGATGTAAAAACAATTAATTGTTCAGCCCCAACCTGAACAATTATTTTTTAGTCCCGCTCCCACAGGAAATCTGTACTGTATGTCCCTCTGACCGCCCGCTGCCTGAACATTTTGTCCCGCTTGCAATCCCCTATAACTGGTTTCCATCTGAGTTAGTGCTGATTTAAAATGACTGCCAGACTTGTCTTTAGTTGGCTTTATTGTCATGTGTTTGCTTTTTTTAAGGGTACTTTCTACAGCTGTCGCCGTCTAACCGTCTGAGCTCTCTGCCATTTCTGTAGCTTCACAGTGATATAGAAGGAGTTTATACATTTTCGGTATTTTGCTGCTAGATATTATTTATTTATGCTAATGAATAAATGATTATTATTTTATTTGGGCTGTTTTTTCTACACTTATGCGTTGTCCTGCACTGGCCTGGTTAACCACCTGCTCCCCCACACACCACACTTAGCCCCGGCCCATGAGATATTGTGGTGGGAATGCAGACCTTTACAGTACAACACAATATGTTAATGGATGTCAGTGTTTATGTAACCAATGTTTTTACAAAACCTTGCATTTGTTTGCAATCAGTAGGACATTCTTTACAAACTCCTAATTTAGCACACCTGGGCCTTATATTCACAAAGCTTGCTGGGCTGATCCAGAATCATATTCCTCTCTTATTTACTATGTCTTTACTGACTGGAATAGATTCTAGATCAGAACTCCTCCTTTGAGAACCTTCATGAATACAGGCCCTGATTCATTTCTACAAGCCTCCAGGAGCTTCTGAATACAAGAATCAAGTGGATCTGATTAAAGCTCTGCAGGATAATCACCAGGTGCAAAACAAATAACGAAGTAGTTAGTTGACCATAGTTAAGTAAAATGCTTTCAAGTTACTTTTAAGTTATTTTTGCTTCCAGACTTTTGAGCTGTAGTGTAAAGACCACTGTAGCAGATGCCCCGCGATGCAGATCATACAAAATGCAGCTGTTCCACATAGAATAAGTCAAAGTGAGAGCAGTGACAAACATTAAGGTCAAATTCATGTTATGCTCCGCTTGTATACAGTTAATGGAATAAAAATGTAAGATTATTTTGTGAATTCATCACATTTGGTGTCAGCTAATGGGTCCACTTTAGAATAAGACCCTTATAAAGGGTTCATGGCTTAAAATTATTGGTCGTTAATTAAGACATAAACAACTTAATGTCATTAATAGACAGTTGTAGCCATAAAAAGATGAAGCTGTCAGTTTTAATACTGACTGATGGAGAAAACAATATCAGATAAGTCATCAGAAAGATCTGAGGTTTAACAGTAGAGATGAATGTTGGCTCACTATCACAGCACACGTCCACTTGCACTTTTTCTCTCTGTAGTTTGCTGGGCCACATCTGGATGCTCTCCACTGGTGGCCATTTGTATGTCGTCATGAAAATGAAGAAACCATTCTGAACATATCTGGGGCAGTAAACAATCTGATGCGTAGTTTTCTGTTGCACAGAGGCTCACAGTGAGATTAAAACACAGACTTCTGCTTTTTATGCTGTTATAATTTTCAGAATGCATCAGTCTTCTACACAAGCAAGGAAGATAGCTCGCCCAGTCTCACTCGCAAGCTTGTTACTTTAGCAAGTAATCTACAAGCTCTGTGTGAGATAAATTTTGCCTTCCCGCTTGAACCATGTAAACCCCATCCAGTCGAACATCTTCCCCCTCCTCTGTCAACAGTTCTGTATAAATCAGATATTTCATTAGTATGTAACACTGTCATGGATTCAAAGAGGTAGAGAGCCATAGTTTCTACCCTCTACTCTCAGAGAAAGTTATATTTGGCATTCGTGATGTAGACTAGTGCACCGTTGCCCGGCTGTGCAAGTGACTGCGGCCATGGCACTGCGTTTGAAGTTGAAATCTGCAGAACTTTTTCACTGCACACTGCAAACCATGATGCACAATGCGGCAGCGTGGACATATACAGTTAGACAGTTAGTTTTTATTTATGTGTTGTACCTGCTTATTCATGATTTTTAAGGTGTTTATGACATAACTAATAAGCATTAATAAAATAATTGTAAGCCATTCATAAACTCTTCATGAGGGCGGTCTTATTCTAAAGTAGCATATGGCTAACGTAGCTCTTCACAGATGTGTTCTTCTCTAGCTGAAAGTTATAAGGTGAAAAGACTAGGCTAGTAACGTTAGCTGAGGTAACATACCATTTAGATTTGTCTGTTTATCTAAAACACTTTAGACTGAGCTTTTCTATTTGTAAACTTCAAGCCACATATTATCTACAACCAATTTTCTAGGGACTCTTTCTAGGTTTAATTTATTTGCCATAACAATAAGATTCTTAGTGGTGCATTGAGAGCAGTGAGCAGTACTGAGTGTAGCCAAGTGGTGGCTTGATGCTGAATGTTGGCAGCAGTGTGCTCACCTTCATTGAGAATGATGGTTTTGAACTTTAGGATGTTGTGTGACATGGTGCAGTGGCCTTCATTGAAGAATTTCTTTGCTGAATGTTTATAACAGCAGCTCTGATTTTGCAGGTGTGGCTCCAGGTCAGCTGTACACCTATCCAGCTCGCTGCTGGCGTAAGAAAAAGCGGTTAAACATCCTGGACGATCCACGTCTGGGGCCCATCGAGTTCAAGATAGGTAAGACACAGTCACTGATGATATTGCTAAGAAGGAGCATGAACGTTACCTCAAGTGGTGTAATGCTGTCCATGGGTTTTTTATGGAAAGTACCATTTTTGTGGAACGTGTAATTGGTTTCCTGGGAAGAGTAATAGATGTCTGATAAGTGGGCACTGTGAATGTAGTCATTAGGGATGTGCCAGTCAAGTTTATTTGACTTCCCATCCAAGTTATTTAATATTAAGTAGCTGCCAATACAAAATCCTGATCTGATATTTTTGTATTTTAGTAGGCACAGCACATTACAGTACATTTTGAGTAGTGTTGTAGTGCTTGAGTCCGTAATATAACACTCAGTCTTCAGTGCAGTTCCTCTATCTGAGATGACTGGAAACGGAACTTTTTTGCTGTCACTAATGTGAGCTACACTAACGTTGCTAACAAACACTAGAAGTCAATAGACACCCAAATCTTTTCTGGATATACATGTCCAAAATGTCTCTCAACCCACTCAAACGTATCATGGATAACGTCCTTACTTAAAGAACGCTGACCAACTGCATTGTCCTGTCCTGTTTAACTGTTTTAGTGCATTACAGTATGTTAAATGCTGAAGAAAAATCATTGTACACAGAGTTTGACAGCTGTTTTTATATGTGGCACTACTAGTGCGTTGTGCCTGTATGTAAAAATACTGTGAAAAGTTTTAATTATCTGTATTGGTTTTTCTAGTTGAAACACTACTGTTGTAAATATTGCACGTGACTTTTGGGCTGTTTTTATTTTCCACTTCAAAATCCTTCCACACTACAGCTGTTTAAAATTCTTCTGAACTTTAAAAAATACACTGCTGTAAAGTCCATTTACATCACTTCTATAACCTAAAAACAGAGCCATAAGAAATAACCTGAGTATGAATTCGCTTAATATGGCTGATAGCGATCCATTAAAATATGCCTGGATCTTTTAGATCAGGTCAGACTCCTAATCAAAGAATCAGAAAAAGCTGTTTGTCTACATGTGTTTGTGTACAATCAGACTACGAGGCTGCCCTGAAGAAAGAAGGAGGTGTTCCTGAGGGTCCTGTGCTGGAGGCTCTACTCAGCGGAGAGCCGCTAGACAAGAAGGTGGAGACCAAGGAGGAGGAGGCCATGAGCGAGTGTCAGGTATGAACTCGGTTTGTTTTTTCCCTGCCAAGTCAACTTCCTCAAGTGCGTACTCAAGTGGGTGTTTAAGTTCTGTAAAACTGTGCCCCAAACTTTCTACACTTCTATTCCCATATGCCCTACTCCAACTCTTATGTGCTTGTCTATGTCTCTCTCTCATACTCCCTCTCTGTCTCCTCCCCTCCAGTCTCTCTTTAGTGTCTGTGTCTCTGTTTGGCACTGACACAATTCCCTGCAGCAATGACACGCCCCCACTGGCAGAGTTCCTCGTTAACTACAAAGCATGCGTACGAGCGTGCGACTGTTTTACCGTTTTGCGTGAGCGAGTTTGACAAAGTGAGACATGGCAATTGTATTGACGGTGTGGAATGAGGCAGAGAACGAACGCACGTTTGACATCTATGTATTTATGTGTGAAAGTGGACCAGCAGCTTTGTGTGAATGTGTGTCCCTGCGAAGCAGCCCTGGATGAGCTGTCATCACTCTCAGCGCGGCCTTCCCCCCATTCCTCGCACACACACATGCACACACACTCCAGAAGTGACATCTATCCCAGGGGTCGACAATTAGCCAATTTGCACCTCAATTAAGAGGCACTCTGCAGACCTCGGAGCTGATCTGGGAGAAGACCTGTGATCTGCTGCTTGTATCCCTGCAGGCCCCTGCAGGAAGGAAATTCTCTGGAGCTCCATTTCCCCTTTAGGCTTTTGATTTTCCTGCAGGACTGTATGTCCTCCATACTGTAGTTAAGATTTAGGCATAATCTGTATTCATGGGCTTGTGTACTGTGCTGCTTCTGTATAGAGCTGCACAATGTACACTATATGGCCAAAAGAGTGTGGACACCTGACCATCAAACTTACATGAGCTTATTGGACATCCCGTTCTAAAACCCTGGGCATTAATATAGAGTTAGCCCCTTTTGCAGCTATAACAGCTTCCACTCTTCTGGCAAGCCACAAGATTTTGGAGTGTGTTTGTGGGATTTTGTGCCCTTTCAGCCAAAAGAGAATTTGTGAGGTCAGGCACTGATGTTGGACAAGAAAGTCAGTGTTCAGTGGGGTTGAGATCAGGGCTCTGTGCAGGTCACTGGAGTTCCTCCACACCAAATCAAACCATGTCTTCATGGACCTCGCTTTGTGCACAGGGGCACAGTAATGCTGGAGTATGAAAGGGCCTTCCTCACACTGTTGATGCAAAGTTGGAAGCATATAATTGCCTCAAATGTCTTTGTATGCTGTGGCATAAACATTACCCTTCACTCGAACCCAAATCCTGAAAAAACCCAGACCATTATCCCTCCTCCACCAAACTTTACTGTTGGCATGGTAAGTAGTGTTCTCCTGGTGTCTATCAAACCCAGATACATCCATCAGACTGCCATATAGTGAAGTGTGATTCAACACTCTAGATAACACATTTCCAATGTTTCACGTCTTTCTAGCCAACACTTGCCATTGCGCGTAGAGATCTTAGGCTTGTGTGCAGCCGCTTGGCCACAGAAATTCATTTCATGAAGCTTCCCACACACAGTTCATGTGCTGCTGTTGCCCCTGTGCTGTGAGTTTATGTGGTCTCTTCATGGCAGAGCTGTTGTTGCTCTTAGATGATTACATTTACAAAGGTGGCATCCTATGATAGTGACACATTTAAAGTCACTGAATTCTTCAGTACAACCAATTTAACTGCCAGCGTTTTTCTATGGAGATTGCATGGCTATTTGCTTGATTTCAAACACCTTTTGGCAATGAGTGTGCCTGACACATCTGAACTCCTATTAGGAGGGGTGTCCACATGCTTTTGGCCATGTAGTGTATTAAGGCCCAGGAAATACTATTAAAGGGTCAAAGAAATCAGTCAGCATTAGCTCCTATAAATAATAATAATTAACAAAATCCAACAAAATAGCTTTGACTATTGGGAAGCTCCACCTCCATCACTACAATATTTATTTTGTTTCAGGCTTCATCAGTTTCTGCTGCTTGTTTTGTGCTTTTGTAGGCACAGTGCACATATTTAGGTAGTTTGAGGGTGATAGCCTACTTTTATGCTCAGTTGAAGTGCAGTACCTTCATTAAAAATAGCTCATTTTAAAGCTTAGTAGTTAAGTATTGAATCAGGGCCAGTATCGGCACACTTCCCTGCACGTTTTAAGGTTTTCACTGCTCCCAACATACCTGATCCAACTAATCAGCTCATTAACACCCCCTTACTATGTTGTAGTGAGTATGTTAAACCAGGGAAAGCACTAAAATGCAGGGCAGTGTGCCTCTAGAACCAGGGTTGAGAAACACTGCTGTAACCAACTACAGTGTTTTCTAGTTGTAATTTTGCACAATTGGTCATGAGCGTCCTGTCCAGTCACAAATGTTTTAGCGTTCACATGATCCAACAAATGTGAATCATTTTGGTCAGAAATATTGCAGGCCAGTCTTTAACTGCGTTAAGGATTCATTAGTGTGTTTTAATACATTGCAAGACATATTGCAGTCTCAGTATGACATTTTGGCCATATTGCACAGCCCCACTTTCATATTCTTTTCCCATCACTTTGGGAAATAATGTTATGCTTAAAAAGCTGTGTAATGAAAATGTGATGGATTGAATATCTGTCTTAAATTTTAAATGAGCAGCACAATAAGTTTTTCAAGCATGTACTTCTAAGTAGGCAGTGTAATGCAGTGGAAGCTTCTATATACTAAAGCGATGGATTTTGAGTGATTGACGATGATATCCTAGCCATAGTGACCCTTCACTGTGTCAGTGTCTGATGACAATGGCTCCGCTAATGGCCACAACGCTGCAATTTACTCCTTTATGGTGACAAACTGGTCTCTTTTATGTGCTGGTGTCAGCTGCTCCCTTATGAGCCTCATAGAGTGTTGATAGGCTGGAAGCTTCTTTGTTTGTCTCTGCAAGCTTCCTTCTTATATGTCTGTTCAGCGGCTAAACCTGACTTGTTAGTTTGGCTGTTAAAGGAGAAACAGCTGGTGTGTATTTATAAGAGTGATTAAATGTTTTTTTTTTCCTCTCTCATGCTTGTTTTCAGAGTATGTAGTTATACAGAAAGCAGGAAACTGACAAATATCAGTGTGCTCTGCTAATGGTTTGTATGCACAGACATGACTTTATATTCAAGTCTAAAGGGAGCTATCCAAATGTAGCGTTATCTTTTACTATGGCTCACTGTAGTGTATTATGTTTGTGTCTGCAGAAGCTGCTGGTGGGAGACTTCCCCCACGAACTGGAAGTAGAGGAGATGGAGGAGGACGTTCCCAAGCGCAAGAACCGCACCAAAGGACGGGTACGGTACAAAACACGAGGCGAAAACAACCCTCAGCGCCAGGCTCTTCCTGCCAAATATGAATTACGAACACACACTCTGGCTGAGGAGCGTTCTCTCGGCCTGTAATTCACAGTCTAGTGAGATGCTACAACACAAGGTTTATTTATCTACGTGTCAGCTGTGTGTTTAGCTCACAGGGTTGACCAAAGAGCCGTCTATGGTGTATCCCCAAGGCTGAGAAGATTTGGTGAGGTGTATCAGGGCCCATAGATATGCTGGAGCCAGGGGTGTCCAGCTTCAGTCCTGGAGGGCTGGAGTGCAGCACAGTTTAGTGAGCTCCCTGTGCAAACCAGCCTAAAACAAGTCAGCAGTTACTCAGCTGAGGCTGGTTAAACCAACAGGGCTTATGCCTGGTCATAAGCTAAATCGATCTGAGCATAGCTTTTCTGCCAATTTTTAAAAAGTTATGCATAATTAAATCTTTGAGATGTAAACAGAGTCATTCCGAGTGATGTGTCTAGAGAAACCTGCTGATTCAGAACTGTCCACAGTGGTGGTGATAGGAACCAGATGTCCAAAGTGTTTGATGCCTCTACTTTTGAAAAATCTAACATATAATGGTTACTAATACACATGATGCTCAAGACATTATCCATCCATCATCTAAACCGCTTATCCTTCTGGGTCACGGTGGGGTGCTGGAGCCTATCCCAGCTGTCATTGAGCAGAAGGCAGGATACACCCTGGACAGGTCGCCAGGGCAGACAGACAGACATACACATTCACACACACCTAGGGGCAATTTAGCACATCCAATTGGCCTGACTGCATGTTTTTGGACTGTGAGAGGAAACCGGAGTACCCGGAGAAAACCCACACAAACACAGGGAGAACAGGCAAACTCCACACAGAAATGACCCTGGTCACCCGGCCGGGAATCAAACCCAGGCCCTTCTTGCTGTGAGGCGACAGCGCTACCCACTGCGCCACCGTGCCACCCCTTGAGACGTTATTTTCTGATAATTTTGACGTAAGGTTCTGGTCTAAAATGTATTTTTAAAAATCTGCTCTTGGTGGAGAGGTACATGCAGGGCACTGTAATACAAAACAGTATAAAAAAAAACAAAACATTTTTTTCAGATTTAAAACAGTTTTACCATTATCAGCTTTAGATATAACCCAGAAGACACATGTAGGTTCACTAATCATTTTAGATCACCACCGCTGTAAAGAAATCTGAGTCAGCATGTTTCTTCACAGTTAGGGAGGCACTGATAATGATTTTTTATGTCCCATTCTGATTTTTTTACGGCCAAATTGGCTGATAGCCAATTTTAATCTAATGCTCACACTGTGTGGGGTAAATGAGTACATGAAATAATACTTTTTTATCAATCAAACTTGCAATATAAACAACATTATTATGCTCTTTAATGGGCCAAACTGGCATTTAAAAAAACAGTAAATCAGTTGTCTGTTGAAATAACATGAATCAAATACAGTGTGACATGGAAAATAAGAGGCAACTGGCTATTTAGCACAATGATTCATGCATAATTATGCTATTGCGTATTGGTATAGATGTAGCAGCTGCATTCAAATACAGGCAAAATCCTAAGACTATAATATACACCTGCTCTAAGCTGATAGGTCCTTCCATGCTCCTGTATTTTAACTTGTTCTTCTGCAGTAGTTCTTCTAGTGCTCTAGAAGTTGTAGCAATCATTGAAAAACATGTACAGGCCTATATTTTTGATAACATTGTTTTGGAATGACTTTTCCCAGTGATCCCACCCCAATGATATATTGTCACTGTAAGCGAAAATAGATTGGTTGCTTGAGTTTTCTGGCTTTCAGCAGAAAAACATCTCTAAACTGGTGCGGTGTTGTAGACGTATCGCTTTGTTGCTGTCAGATGTGTGCAAATATTACCATACATCTGAAAACTCCAGTTGCAGTCTAATATATAGTTGTTATTTCATGACTATGTTTTCCTGCTATTTTGCCCAATCACAGCACTGCCATCAGTTAATGTTATGTCTATGTGACAATATATTTCTTCCTTTATTATAAAACTAAACAACAGAAGATGCATTACCCTCAAGGGTTACAGTAGAGTATAACAGAATGGTCGCATGCATCTTTTAAAAATTATAAAGCAATTTTTTAGATTTTTAACATTGTTAGCTTTAAAATACATTAGTGCAGTAGTGATTCATTGATTTTTGCATGCATTTTAAAAGTGCAGTGTAGACCATTTTAAATGAAACAATGTATTAATGCATTAACTTGTTCTATAATCTTCATTGTTGATGAGTAATTGACTCCAAACCCTACACCAAAGTGTGCTGGCCACCCTCTATTCATGCCTGGATTTGGACACTCCTGAATTAGGGTCAGGACGCTCTTGTTAGGTTGGAAGATCTAAATTCTCAGGGCAAGTCACTAAATGTAACACAGTCTGTTCGAGAGCCATTAATCAAGTTCGCTTGACAAAACCAACTTACTGTTCTTTGTTTTATTATTCTAAGCTTTTGTGTGCTGTTTTCCCGGGTCAGTGTTTTTGAGCTAGATCCATAAAATTTGAGAAAATTTAATATATTAATAAAAAAAAAAAAAAAGACATCTCTCACACTGCTTCCATAGACAATACATACAGATATACAGACATACTAGCACGTATATGCACAGATATATTAGCAACCACTTCAGATACCATAGTAATAGACCAGCCAGACCTTAACACCTTACTGCCTGAGATAACATAACAATGGCCAAGCAGCACCTTATTAATCACCTGAGATAGCATAAAAATGACCTAGAAACATGTTAGCAACCACCTGGGATAACATAGCTACGCCCTAGCAACACATTAGCAACCAACTGGGATTTCATAGCAATGGCTTTGTCAAGCCAACTTAATATTTGTTCATGACCTTTCCCCTTCTAGGCCTATCAGTGGTCTTCTCTTAACCTGATCATTGTCAGAGCAGTTTTCCTTCTTCTCTGCTTACGTCTTATTGTTATACAGTGCAGTTCCAGCACACGAGGGAGGTCAGATCTTAATATCACAATGTATGTACTTAAGCACACACTTAAAACTGTAATTATGAACACACTTATGTAAAGTCCACACTATAGGTCAGAAACACTCTGTGATCCAGATAGGCACGCTGAGAGAACAAAGAGAGACTTGCATTGTGTAACTGGGACTGAAAGCGAAACTTTCCGCCTCAGCACTTTCTGTGAGAATCTCACACCGTTGGTGCTGTTAACTTGCTCTCAGGTGTTACAGACCCCCGGAGGGGTGAAGACAGAGAGAGATGCTGTGATAAATGTATCATAAGCTCAATTCCCGATGTGTGTGTGCATTCTGGTTTATCTTTATGGTAACTAAATCTTCCTAGAAATACATTAAAATGCATCTGTTGCGATTCAATTGCATCAATTTTGACATGTTAAAATTTATTATATTCAGTTATACTAATATTCAATAAAGCATGAGCTCATTTTTTGGCCATAAATAAAATTCTCTGGCTATTTTAAAATGTACAAAAAGCTTGGTGTATTATTTTTATTGTCTATTTCCCAGTACACACTTGCATATTGAGTGTATTTTTAAACGTAAATCTGATTTGTACTGAAAAAATCATATCAGACTGTGGTGAAATTGGGGTGATGCATTGAATCGTTTTCTGAGGAATCACTGTTCAATCATACTGGTGTGTGGTCAAGAGACGTACCCTAAGAACATATGATTGTTGCTGGTCACAAGGAATAAACTGCACTTTCTGGAGCAGAGCTAAAGTGGTAGACACACTGTACTGTGTAAAAGTCAGAGACCACCACGTATTCTTTTAATTTCCAGTCTAAATGGTCATTAAGCACAATTTTTAGTATCAGAAAAAATGCATATTTCATAGAATATTACACAGAAGACCATACAACTAAATATTATATAATTTTTTCAGTATTTAGGGGTGAAATGGAATTGGGCCTTGCTTTCTGTTTTTCACAGAAATCTGTAAGGATATTTTTCCACATTTTTCAAGTTCAGTCTTAGGAATTGGTTTCATTTTCTGCTTCTTGCAATCTAAGTAATTCAGCGATGTTCAGGTATGGACTCTGGGGTGGTCAGTCCATTGTTTTGAGAAGACAAGCAGCTTCTTTGTTTGATTTGTACAGTTTCATCTTTTTGTCTGTTTCCTTTTCTCAGTAACAGCTTCTTGACAGCAACACATCCTTTCAGGCTCATAGTGTTGCGTTGTCTTGACACAGAGGAAAGATGGACAGAAACACCTGTGATTTTTTTTTTTAAATCTGAAGAAGAGTGGAGCTTGAGTCCAATTTTCTCTACATCTTTTAATAATTTTTTGAACTACAGTTTTGGAAACTCCTCTTTTTTCAGTTATTTTTATTTGACTTCTCCTTTTTCATGAAGTGGATATTTCAGATCTTATATCTCCCCATAAATATCTGCTGAAAAAAGCATAACTTGTATTTAATGGCCGTTTTAGAAGGAAATAAATATAGGTTTCTGGTCTTTGACATTTCCACAGTACTGTAAGACTCTACACAATAGCTGTAGTAATAGAAAGTCCATTGTAGGTGGAAGTGTGTGTAGCCTGTGTGTGTCTGTGGTTCTGTGTGAGTGAGATTTGCACAGAGAGAGCAGACAAGAGAGTCTCAGCGTCTTCCAAATGTTTGTACTGAGTAGCAGTTGTATGTTGTTCTGTGTGTGATGATGAACGTGCTGCTCCACCCCGCCCAGGCCTGTGGCGTCGGTGGAATGAGGAAGAGACAGGAGCCGGCCTCCTTAGAGGACAGAGACAAGCCATACGTGTGTGACAGTGAGTGTCATTTCTCTAAGATAATGCATCTTCCACAATCCAGCACTGTGACTCAGAGCTGAACGTGATATTATGTGATTGTTTTTAACCTTCATGTTTGGCAGAAATACACAGTCTTGAATGAAAGAAGACGAGACGTGGCTACAAACATGAAATCGTTCCATTCACATTTCTGTGCTTCATTAATGCAGTGGCTTGGCAAAAAATTGTTTTCCCTTACCCTGTAGGTAGTCCATCAGCCAAGGCATGTCAGACCCATCGTGTAGCTCAAAACAGTAGTAGCAGCAATTGTGAAGCCTCAGTTTTGTCTGTACTTCAGTTCATTTTCATAGATCACAGTTAGAAACAGTACCAGTCTGATTGCAGGTATCAATGTTGGATTAATATCAGCAGAAAATGCAATATCCTGAAATAGCACACGCTCACATTGTGTGATGTCATGTTATGTGTTTCTACCTGTGGGACAATAGAGTTCCTGAGTAGTTTGTCAAGAAAAAGGTTTAAATATCCGTAACCAAAAAAAAAAGATTACCTTACATTGAAAGTTAAGAAAGTGTTTTCTTTTTCTTTCTAAAGTTATTTTGTTCCAACAATGATGAGTGTCAGGAACCACATTAGCCTCAAAACTAAAAAAGCAAACATCAGACACCAAACATGTCCCAAACAATACATGTGGGGTCAATTGTGTACGTTTATCATTAAAATATCACTTTAATATTCATGGCTGATATGTAATAATATATAATTATATAATAATATAATGTTGGTGGTTTTAAATAAATAATCACTATGATATAATAAGGGTCACAAGAGTTGTTCCATCCATTGTTCTGCATTGTATTGATAATACCTGCCTCTCCTTTTTTCCGCGTTTTAGTCTGCGGCAAGCGTTACAAGAACCGCCCAGGCCTGAGTTACCACTACACCCATACGCACCTGGCGGATGAAGAGGGCGAGGAAGACTCCGAGCGCCACACCCTTCCATTCCAGCGCAAGAACAACCACAAACGTAGGTTGGACATTTAAATTTCATCACCTTAAAGGAATAGTTTGAGAAAAAATGTGATTTGTACAGTTTTCTACTTATCCTTGATGTTGTGTTTGTTTCTTTAGTTTTGCAGTTAATCTGTGAGGCTAATGCATGTAATGGAAGCACATATCCCACCATTTAGCTTTTTTTAAATTATCAATATTCTTTTTTAATTTGTTGGCCACTAACACCCACCCCTTTACGGGGACATTAACTGTCCTTTTCGTTTCATTATTAATGTCAACAGTTCCCCATTTCTTCCCCATTTCTCAGGTGACACCCACAACCGCCCTACCACCCCAAACACTCACAGCCCTATCCTCTCCACCCACAACACTCCCCTGCCCACCAGTCTCACCCCACTAAGTAAAAGAACAGAGAGAGAGATAGCTGACAGACTAGAATGAGGAAAAAAAAACAATACAGGCAATGGACCATCGACCATTTAGCATTTCATGTCTAAATCATCTAACGCTTGCATGACAATGCAGTATTGACATACTGTGATACGTCAGTTTTAGTCTTTCAGAATTTAGCGGCATAGCAACATTGCCAAGCTGCTTGGTACAGCAGTTTGGGACAGCATATGAAGTGACAATAGAAACAGAAAGCAGTGATTAGTAAATTCTGTTTGACCTGTAGTGAAATGAAAACAGTACAAAAAAACAATATTTGACGTTTTACTTTAGAAATTTTTTTTTTTTTGCAAATTTATGCTCATTCCAAATGAGCCACATCAACATTGAGTTACATCAACTTTCCTTTTAACAGCACTTAATAATCATGTGGAGACTAAAGACACCCATCCTGTTTTAAAAATGGATTATTGATGCATTTTTTGCCATTCTTGAGTTATACAAGTCTTCAGCTGCGCATGGACCCATATGGACCCTGCATCATTGTATTTCACACTTCAAAATGTGCCAGATGTTTTCAGTGGAAGAGAGGCAGGCCAGTCTGGCACCTGCACTCTCTGATTATGCTGTTGTGACGTGCAGAATGTTTCTTGTTGTTCTCTTGTTGAAATAAGCGTGGATGTCCCTGAAGAAGATGGTGTCTAAAAGGCAGCATGTGTTGAGCAAGTTACCCACTAATACTCCCCTCAATACCAGACCAATAGACTTTATGCTGGTAAAGCTAAGTCTTTACTCAGAGGCTTTACGCTTGTAACAATCTGGATGGTCCTTTACTTCTTTGTCCCAGAGAACACAACATCCATTATTTCCATCTAAAAAGTTGACTCGTCAGTCCACAATACATGTTCGCACTAGGCATTAGCTTGAGCCCAGAGAAGTCAGCAGTGTTTGTGGACTTTGTTGACTTACAGCAAGTGCACTACATAGTTCAGTTTCAACTTGCATTTGGAGATGCAGTGATGAACAGTGTTTCTTAACAACCGTCTTAACCCGTCCTTGCTCATAAAGGACTCAGCCTTTTTCCTGGATGCTCCTTCTATACCCAAGCATGACTACATCACCTATATAACCCTCTGGGGTCCACCTCTCACTGTGTGTAATTGGTGGACTCGTGTGTTTGTCTACATTTTGTATGAAACTGACCAATGGACACTCAGGATATCACTAAGGTTTGACCCATCAGGTCGGAAACCCTTCATTCTTCATTCAGTCGACATCAGAGACACGTGAAATGGCATGCAAAGAGTTTACAGCTGCTGAAGTTGCTGGAGTGGTTTTGGAAAGTAGTGACAAACATAACGAAGCATTTGATATGAAAATATGAGTATCAAGTTATATGGAAGGGACATATAAAAAAGTTGCAAAAATTGAGAAAATGCCCTCAGACCCCAGAGGGTTAAGATGTCACGATGTTCCTAGTCTTAAATTGCACCTGTCACAACTTTTTTGAGCATATATTTACATAAAAAACAATGAAGTTGATAAAGTAAAACATTAAATATCTCATCTTTGTACTGCGTTTGTTTAAATACAGGTCAGAGTGGATTTAAAATCAGTGCTGTTTTTATTTGCATTTCACATACTGTCCCAACTTTTTTGGATTTGGGTTTTTTAATGATCGGTAATGCAATTATTTAGTGGGTACTTGTTTTTAAAGAACAGTTTAAGACACATAAAAAATTACATAAACCGGAAATGTGCTTTCTGTCTGGAGAATGTCCACAGCACTGTGTAAAGCTCCCTTTGTTGTCATTGTAAGACAAGAAAATGGAACCGAATAGTCCCGTCAAAACAAGATAAGTCAGGATTGTAAAGACATTCTTTCTGCATACAGTGGCAGAATGGTCTCATTAACTTTATTAATGCTAACTTAAAGGAGAATTCCACAGATTTCAGTCATTAAGATGCAAACAGAGTAATTCAAAGTGGAGTTTTGTAATAAGGGTTTGGCCTAAAACTTTTTTTAATCTATTCCTGGCAGAAAGGAACACGTAGGTCAAAACTGAAAGATAGAAAACTTTATGTATTCAGATTTACCACAACATTACATATTAAAACACATGTAGGTTTAATGAAATATACATTGTCGCCTGGTTCCTATCACCACCACTGGAAAGAAATCCGACAGGCTTTCAAGTCTCACTTAGGACCAGGATTACCAGGGTGAGAGTTAGGTTAAGTATAGGGCTAGGATTAGGTCCAGGTTTAGGTTAGAGAAAATTAAGGTGAATTATATATTTAGTTGAGTGCGTGTCAAATGCAAGATATTATTGTGTTATAGGGATTAATGTTTATATTATTTCTATTATTAGATAACTATTTTACCATCTTCAACATTACATATAAAATCTCAGAAGATACATGTAGGTTCACTGCTTATTTTGAATAGTAAATAAAATGGCTATATTTGCATCGTAGACATTATGACCCCTGGTTCCTATCAGCTTCAGTCAGTAAGTTTCTCTTTAATGAGGTACATCATTTCAAACCACTCTGGAAGACTGAATTATGTACAAAAGATGACTGTGGATTCCCCTTTAACAACACAGTATGAAGAATGTGAGTGATTGTTTAGGCACACAGTTTGCATGATACTAACTGTTAAGATATAAGCTTTCTTTGCTTGTTAGCTAAATTAGCCTCATAGCTCCAGCGCAAAACTACGGAAGCAAACTTCAGCTGACTGACTACATTTAAAGTAAGGACAAAACAACATAAATTGGATTTTTCAGTTAACTATTCCTTTAATATTCCACCACTCACTTCTCAGGACTTGTTATTTTTTGACTGGCACTACCTCAGCCCACTCATACAAGCGTCGTGTCCTTTTGTGTGATGAAGCCTCTGCTGTATTTGACCTCGTTGCAGTGTCCTTGCGAAAGCGTGCCCATTTACCTCCTAGAGTTAATTGGCCGAGCACCAGGGTGAAGGGGCCTGTCTGCTTCTCCACCTCGTACAGCAACCGGCGGCTGTCCTCACAACGCTAACACCACGCGCTCTTTTAGTATGTTATTCTGGCTGTGTGTGTGTCTGTTTGTAGATGCCTGAGTGGTGTGTGATCATGCACCTGCGTGTGTATGTGTGAGAATGCATATTCCACTGCCCTCCCAATCTGTCAGGTTATGCACACACTCCTCTTCCATAGTACACCACAAGCAATATCATTAATAAGAGGGGCTTTTTAATGAAACCTCGACCATCCATTATTCATGCAATATTCCGAGTCCAAAAAAAGAAACGTCTAGACGCAGGCGCACGGCTGCCAGACCCGAGCCATACGATGAAGTATTGGAGCCAGACCAAATCCAGATTCGCATTCTCTTTCTCTCTCTTGTGCTCTCTCGATTTCTTTTTCCATTGGTGCCCGTGCCCCTCCCTCTCTACTTCTCTCCTTTTTCAATCAGTTTGATAAATGACAGATTATTCTGCCAAGAGATGAGATTCTGGCTTTTTCCATTTTCTCGTTCCCTCCCTCTCCTCTCTCTACCTCCTTTTTCCTCCTCTCCTCTCTTTTCCCCTTCTGTCTCATTCTCTCTTACTCACTCTCCTTTTTCAGTCTCATCCCTTTGTCTTTTCTGCCACCCCTCTTAGATATCTCTCTCTATTTCTTTCCTCTCTCTCTCTTTCTATGCTTATCCGCCTCTCTCTCCTCCTTGCCTCTCCCGCTCCCTCATCTCTCTTTGCTTTTGATTTAAGATTCATCTATCGGTTATCTGTATTTTTTTCCTTCCCCCTCTACTTTTTATTTATTTCCATAGCTGAGGCAGAACTGGTTTGGGCTGAGATGAGAAGCTGCATTAAAATTCATGTCTGCTCACATTCTTTTTCATATGAGGCATAGAGGCTTTGGGTGGGTGGAGGGGGTGGTGGTGGTTTTGGGGGGGGGTGTAGGAAGTGCAGTGATGGTGTTGGGGTGTGTGTGTGTGGAGTGGGGGGGGGTTGGCTAGGCATTGATGTGAATGTGTCAGGGAATGGTGGGGGGAGTGAGGTGAGGTTGGTGTTTGCTTTTGGAGGTCGCCCCCTCTAGATATGCACCTGAAAATTGGATTTTGTGACTCCGGTAGTTCGAGTTAAGAAGCCCAACCCCCCTTCCTTCTTGCACCCTGGCACACACACACACAGACACACACACACACACAGAGGTAGAGGTGTAGATTGAGGCTGTGGGGTACGGAGACAGTCAGAAAGGAAGCAGGCAGCGAGAGAGAGCGAAATAAAGGTTTCTAGCTGCTTTCTATTGAAATATAGCAAGTTATAAATGTGTGGTTAAATATAAGGATGTAACAATGCAGCCACTGTTTGATTCAACTCACGATACTGGGTCCACGATATGGCATCCTCACAATATTGTGAACATAATTTAAAGAAAAAAAAATGAAGACAAATGATAAATAATAACATCATTGCATAGCTTGCTAATTACACTTGAACTAGGAGGGAGGAGGAGTTATGGACTGAGTTGTTTATTAGTGCTGATCGTTTGCAAATGTTGTTTTTTAAACAATGCAGTTGCATTAGATAGTGTAATTAACAGAGTGTTCAGTGTCCACAGTGCACATTGTC